TGGATATATAAATGAATTCATATTGCCCTTTGTTAACGGGTGATTGATCTAACAGATCAATACTGAACTACTACTTTATTTCAGAAATGGTAACTATATATATATATATATATGAATGAGCTAGGAAAAAATCAAACACTCTAGAAAAAAAACATAACGAAGAAGGGAATATACCTGAACAACATCAAGAGAAGAGAAATATTCAAGTGAGAGAAAGAAAACAAAAGACATATGTATATATCGGAGTTGATTTTAAAATTCGATCCCCTTTCAAAGGCGACTAGTTGACTTTGAAATATTTTAAAGACAACTCCGACACATACATGTATGTGCCGTACTTGTTATCTGTACAACATCGTAGAAGAGAAGAAAGGAAAAAAAAGATATATAAGCCAGTCAGGCTATAAGACCCTTTTTTATATAAAATCTACCTTATATAAAATTTACCTTTAATTTAAATAAATTATTGCTCTTTCAGTATAATTATTGCTCATTCAGTATATCTATTGCTCATTCTATATGATTATTGCTAAATTTCATTATTGCTCAATTAAATATAAATCTTTTTTTTCAGTATAACGAAACATGATGTAGCTTGAAAATTTCTTAAAGTATTTTATATAGAGAAAAAAGTGTTGATGCTTATGAATTAATTTTGCTTCGTTTTGAGATTCTTCTTTATTTAACAAAAAATACGACACAGTTACATGCAATATTTTTTTTTCTCTTTGTGTGAAATAATAAATCAGTCCATCTAATGATCGAACTTATTTGGATACGTGATACCATGATTGATACCAAGTTTTTGACGGCGTTGTCGAATTATTTCGCGGTAGCGTTTACAGGCAGTGTTTCGAAGTGTTTCCGCATCGTTGTAAAGCCAGTCAGCCCAGTCAAATAATCCAGCAGCTCGCTCCACTTCATTTTGCTCTGCACATTTCTCTGCTTCTTTTATGAGATGGTTGGCGATCTCATTCGTTAGTTCAATAAGCAAATTTTCATCAGAATCATGCATGAGTACCTTCTCAATATAGGTTGAAGCTAACTCGATGTGTTCCATCATGTGACAGCAAAAAATAAACACATTAATAACACAATTGAGTGGAAACACGATGGGCAAAATTTCGTGTGCCAATTTACCCGAAACTATAAGAAAAACGGACATATTATTTTTTTCTTGCTCATGAATGAACGCAACAGCTGAATTGACATCAGTAAATGTATATAATGGATAGGTGACACGACGAAAACGGTTTTTCATTGTTTCATTGTTGCCTACTTCACCTATATGATCGTCTAGCCAAATAACAACATGCCGATGAAGTTGTTCCGCGTATTGAACGTTAAATGCCATTCGTCGCTTTCTTATCTAAAATTTGATGCAAACAGTTTCTTATATAAAATATGAAATAGTGCAAAGTGATTGTTCTCTTATATACGTTCTGTTATGCACGCATCGAGGAAGGTAAAGAAAGAAGAACATGACACACTTTTGCGTCATGTACTTCGGATGCTTGTGTTTTTATATCAGTTGGAATATTTCAACCGCTTCAAAATCAAACAGTTGGAAGCCATGCGTTTGCAAACAAAATTATTTTTTTTTACATTGGATGTAGGTGTCGAGTATGAATATAAATGGGTTTAAGGACCTGCAATATTAGTCTTCCATCATCGACATCTACAACCATACTCACACGATTTATTCTTGAAATTATGAAACTTCTTTAAAAGTCAAAAAAGTTTACTTCAGATTTGCGTTTATCATGATTAAGTTCATAGGTGTTCCCTATCGATATATGAAATATAGGAACTGTTAGTCTGTTGATTAAGGCTAATTCTTTTTAGATAGATTTTATTCTACTCTCATTTAACATAACATTATATCTAGTTCGAAAAAGAAACCAATCATAAGTCTGACAAAAAGAAAAAGAAGAAGCAGAAGAAGGTAGTGGTTCATAGATAGCGTCACTACCTAACAGTAACATCATTATTTTGATGATAATTCATAAATGCTAACAGCTATCGATTCATATTTTCACCATTTTCATATAAATATAATTCGGATGATCGTCGACATTTTCCAAAATATGAATATTCAGCTGTGAAATATAAGTTTCTCCGATATGATACAGCAAAGTTGAAATCTAAAATAAGAATAAAACCTGAATATCAATTTGAAACGAATAACTATGAGAAAATTCAAACTTTTTTCTTTTGGTACACCTTTTATCAAATCATTTGCACATACGAACCCCTTTTTGATTTTTCTTTTTTAAGGATTAAACTATCGCCAATTTGATGTTAGTGATAGCTAGTCAGATATCTACTATTGTAAAACAACAATATTTTTTAGATTTTGATCTTTACTAGTAATCCGTTATTGCTTGTAGGGATGTTAAATAATATCATCAGCATCATATAACGTTTAAGAAATACGTATGATAACATTTTATGCTATCATATTTAAAGTTTTCAGTTAAACATATACAAAAAACTATTATTAAATCGAATGAAAATCAAAGAAAAATTTTCTTAATGCTACTGCCTACTTTGAGAGAGAATTCTTGGAGCTATAGTAAATAGATCTTTAAGTTGTGCTGCTTCAATTAATGAGTCTAAATCGTTGATTCTTTCTTCGCTTATCGTCTGTTCCAGGTCAGAATTATTATTATCAATATTTATTTTGTTTTCTGTATTGATTTTATTACTATTTACCACAGAATTATTGGTATTGGTTAGAATTAAGGTTGATAAAGATGACAGGATGATGTTACCATTTGATTGTGATCGACTATTTTCTTTACTTCTTTTAGCATTTCGTCTCAAAAAAAAGGATTTAATTTATTCAGAAAATAAACAACTATTTTCATCAAAATGAGATTAACCATGTAATTCAGCAAACGCCATCTTTCACAACACAAGAAATCATGAGTGTAAAAATTAGTATAGAATTCGTAAATGCATTGAAGGTTTAAACTCTTGTAAGAAGATCTGATTACTCATTTTATCAATTAGCACATGACTTAAATGTACTTTGTAACTTGATTTTTGAGGAATCTCTATTCATGTAAACTGTAATTCCTTACTCAAATGTAATATTTTTTCTATTTGCTAACAATTGATTGCGTTTTTTTGAAATGGAAAAGTTATTTGCTTCTACATGTTTATTAATCACACTTTTATTATTTTTAATTGATGACGTCAATAAAATATCTTCTTACTTATTGTATATTTTAGACAAATTATGGTGAAAATTTAACGTACTTATTCGGTACAGATATGATTTGTTGCCTTTTCTTATAATTCGAATAAATCGATATGCGTATTAAAAAATTTGATAACCCTACGTCAAAGAACATATGAGAACTCTTTCACTCTTCTCATTAGACTTCATTGATAATCTGTCAGAGATAATGCAGTAGGATCGTATTTATTACACGTGGTTATACCTTCATCATATGTAACTTGTAGAAAATTTACGACATCACCGCTATAATCTATGGGTGGCTTTTTTTAGAGAAAAGTTCAGCCTTGTCAACGCTTGTTCGCCATTGGTGACTGAAATGCAGATGTTATAATATTACATTGACTCCATATGATTGAAGAATAATTCCGTAGTCATGACTCTTTTCTTCATGTATACGTTTCAACAGCTCTACTAATATCTCAAGTCAACAAAAAATGCTGTTCACAGATACCTGTAAATGATCGTAACACATGACTTTTTAATATGATCGTCTATCTTTGTGATTGTATACGAAGCAATAAGATTATATAGAGAGAAAAAAGGAGATCATAAATAGTTTATGTGTATGAAAAAGAGTAAACGAGTACTTTTTTTTTCTAAACCACTATAGCTTCGTATACAACATAAAGATATACAATCATAATACTAAGTCATGTATATCGCGGTATTTTTCTCTATACGACCTTTTACAACCGCATCTGTTTGATCTAGAATAACACTGATTACTCATCTTAAACCATGTATTCTCATGATTCTTATACCGTTCAGAGTTCCACGACAAGATTTTTTTTTTCGATGGACTAAGTAAGCGTCCTCCTATTGTACATGAAAATATTCGACAAAATAAAACATATACATATATCCGTTGACTGAAAAAAAGATGATATCGTGCTACTGTCATGAAATTGAAATTATGACTCAATCAGATATTAATTACATTGTTAATACAAGAATGGCACTCACATTAAAAATGTACCCTTAAATACATTCACGGCAGTTTTTTCTCGAGAATGGGCATCAATATTACCGTCTTAGTACTAAATTGAAAAAAAAGCTTACGATCGGTAGATTAGACAATCCTGAAGCGGTTTTCTCAACATCATTATATCTGTTGTTATGAATTTTTACATAATTTGAACTGATAAAATGTAGTACAGAACTAACTTGATTTCAACAAGAAACAAGGAAACTGATTCTTATATCAATTAGGATAAATATATAATGAAATTTTTGACGTAGACAAGAGAAAACAATGTGCTTAGGAAAGTAGAAATGTCAGTTGATTACGTATTCAATTGATTGAATTATGATTAATTTTTGAACAAAAAAAAAAGATTTTGCACCAGCTCAATATGCTATATAGGATGAGATAAAACTTTAATTATTATTTAATTTGAGTCCTTCATAAATCAGATCTCAGATGATGAAATGAGAGCATAAGATAATTCACTAACCACCACAAGAAAAGAAATGATTTTATCTAGTACAAGATTAAAAGAAAAATACAACTGATCAATAGAGGACAGCACCATACAGTTAAGTTTTTAAATTTGTTTCAAGATTTCTATACTTTTTTTAACAATACATTCTTTACAATTATTCTACATTTCTCATAATTTTTAATAGTATTCAATCTTTCTTTAGAATTCATTAATTACAATGTTGCTATGGAAGCATTTCAAAGCAACTTGTCGCATGTCCAACTGATTAGTGACAGATAAATATTTTAATTCTTGAATATAGCTTAAACGTAATGGATCAATCAGTTCACTATGCTCAGGCTATGTCCAATTTCGATTCAGTTTACAATGTTCCACATAAACTTGTTCATCATTCGACTACGTATATGCCCATGTCTTCATCCTCATCGTACCGAAATCGATCTATATCTCCTTCTTTAACATCATCTAATCCAAAGTTTAATTTGGATTTATATAACCCTAATGAATATCATTCTGAATCGATTGATTATCCATCACCTTCATCGTCTGTGATCATTCATCACTATCCTGTATATTCTCCTCCACCTTCTCCTCCTTCACAATCGATATCAAAATTACGTCAAATTAATAATGAATTATCTCATACTCTTGCACAATGTGAATTAACAATCAATCGATCACAATCATCATCATTACCATCACCACCATCGCAGTATCATATTCATCATTATCCAATATCATATGAAACTTATCGTTCACGTTCTCCAAGTGAACAAACTTTATCATCATCATCATCATCAATCGAACAATCTGAACCAATAAAAAGAAAACATAATGCTCGAATTACATACAAAGCTCATATTCCACGACGACAAAAATCGTTATCAAATTTAGATCAAGTTCTTATTTCAACTTCAGATGCATATTTATCTAATGATCCAATGACAATTGATCTCTATCCAACGCGTGATCAAGGTCTAGTTAAAAAAATTAGAAATCGTCCAAATAATCAAAGTCCATGGCTTTCTGATACTTCACCAATTCGACGCAATTCTTTTTCAGAAGCAAGTACTTATCGAACACCTCGGGGACCATATTATGGTGATAAACCAATACAACCAAAAAGTCGATTAGCTAGTGGCAAAGGTTTAGCAAACTAAAAAATAAAATGAAAAATTTATTAATAAATTTTTTTTTCTTTATAGAACGTCCAAGATCATCATCTGTAAATCCTCGTGTACGTCCTGATAGTGCTCCAAATCCACTTCGTCAATCTGCTATTTCTTTTTCTAAAACTGCACCTGTATGGCGACCAAATGGTTCAATCAAACCTACTAAATTTATTGGTTCTCATGCCCCACCTTCAATACTAAAGCCACCACCACATGAAGCTCCATGGAATCCTGCTGGTGTTGCAAGTAAAACACAACGTATTCGTGCTTTTGATCCTGTTAGTAAAGCACTACCATCTAAAACACCTGAATCTGTTTGGCGTCCATCATCTAAATCTTTAAATGATAAACGTCCAAAATATTTTGAACCAACTGTTAAGCCTGAATTAATTGTACCAATTAACAAATCAACAGAACCTGTATTAAAAAGTAAAAAACTAAAAACTCATAAGAAAGTATCTAGTGCTGATCCAACATTAAAAACACGTATTGCTAAAGCTGAAAGTAAAGTTAAATCTGCATGGGAAGCTACAGCAACTGTTAAAGAACCTAAACCTCCAATTCCACGTCCTGTTAAAAAAACAGCAACAACAACAACTATACCAGTAAAACCAAAAGTTAAAGATGTTCCATCTCAACCTAGTGTACCTGTTAAAAAAATTGTTTCTGCACCTCCAACAACAACAGATACTGGTCGAAGTTCATTGAATAATATTTCAAGAAAACCTATGTATCAATCAACACCAAAAAATCAAAGTATGGCTGATGAAGATGATGGTAGTGTTGCTGATCTATTCGAAAATGAATCACAAGTATCAGAAGTTTCGAAAAAACAAGTAATACCTCATCCACCTCCTCAAATAGAAAAAACACCAACAAAAACTCGTATGTATTATTTTATTTTTTAGAATTCTTTTCATGATTATATTTCTAGCTAATACAATTGTACCAGGATCAGTTGAAAAATCACAATCAGTCATTAAAAATGATGTATTAATACATGGTGATGATGCTGATAATATTCGTGATGATAATCCCAGTTCGTATTTTCTTTCTAAAAATCAAATTTTACAATTAAGTTTTACTTTATTTAGCACCTTCACCTCATTCTGAAATTAATAACAATGATAATAAAGATGAAGATACATTAAATAATCATAGTGTGCAACCATCGCCAATTCCTCCTGAGCGCAAAGGTAGCTTTATAAGTTAAATTAATTTTATAATATAAGCAAAGAAAATGTTTTTTTATTTCCACTTTTAGCATCACCACCTAAACCAGATAATAGAGATGATGTATCAATTGTCGAGGATGAGGATGCTATTCTGCCTGCTGAAAGTGATCAAGATGATACGCATGAAAATGTTGACGCAAGTTTTGAGATGAATAAATCACTTGATAATATACCAAAAGCCATAACGAATGGTTCGAAAAAAGATGATATTATTTCTCCTTTAGCAAGTCCTCGAACATCTCCAAAAGCTAATATTAAAACACCACCTCATCGAAAACAACCATCACCAGCACCACCTTCTGAAAATCTTGATGAGAATTCGTACCAATCTCCAATTAGTACAAAGAAAAATGATCATAAATTACCAAAAACTCCTTCACCACCACCATCGGCAACTGCGGACGTTGATGATTTTTTTGATTAAATTGTAGTTCTTTTGTGCATCTGTTTATTCTTATGACAGAAATTTATTTTTAATGAAATAGTGCAAAATATGACATTGAAAAATCAATGTTTTTTTTTCTGGCTAATCACACTGACAACATATACTTCATTGAAATGAATATAAGGAATTTTTTTCTTTTTGCAAAGAAGAGATACGAAAATATTTTAGAATTAATGATTGATTAGATCAAATGATTTCATGAGTCAACGAAATTCTTTTCTAATCTTGAAAGAATATCCTTATGTAAATAGCCAATTATTATTTTTTATTTACATAGATTTCTCTCTACATACAAACAATACAGTTGATCAAGTGCCATAACTCAAACATTTTCTGCCCTAAGGTATCAAATATAGTCCTTCTCATGAAAGTCATAGTCTATTCAAATAGTTCCAGTTCACACAATCTTGTTTTATATGGCATTTGTGTACTCCACGAGTCGAATTTTGTGATATTTTTATTAGAGAAAAAATCATTTTGTCTACATTAAACTTGTAAACCCATGAAGTTCAAACTGTCGTCTACTTCATTTTCAGATATTCCATTCTCTTTCTGCTACTGTGTGGCATTCTTCACTATTCGTTTTTGAAGGTTTTTTTCTGTCCCATTATCATTCGACGCACAGGAAACTTCCTAATACTAAAAATTCTAATCAAATATGGACATTGTGTGTTCATTATATACTTAACCTGCTTCTCACACTATATTCGCTTTGTTATCGATTATAATATTGTGAAATATACTATTGAAATTGTGTAAGATACAAACAAAACTATGATTACGTATAACGTTAAATAATTATTTAATTTCATTTGGATAGGATAATTCATGTAAAAAAAAATTGAATTTAGTAATCCTAATATTGACTTTTGAATAGTGTCAATATTCTTTTAGTGTACACTTTTATCGCACAAACTACATTATGTGTTGACTGATGGTGATAGGTGACTTTTTGTTCATTTAATCTATACAAGAAATTATGAGTAAATATCTCACAAAGAAGTAACAAGTAAGTGAATTTATTTAGGATGATAAACAGCAAAAGTTGGTTATATACATTTGTAGTAGGAAAGGAAAGTATAATTATATAAACCATTACAATACATTAGATGAAATTTGAACATTTCTCAATTAATTTGTCTTGACTCTAAAATTCAATTAGTCATAGATGGAACTGTTTGAAAAGTGAGCGTAATATTCAAACAGCTGACTCGTGCCCTAACATTCTAATCACTTCCCTCAACAATGACATAGTTCATGTTCTTGAATGGAATTTTCTGTTACTGAAGAACTCTGGCAGTTGAATGTAAATGGATCTGGACTGGTCTACTTGTCACTTTGGTATCATAGCCATGATTCAAGAAATTTTCCAAATTTCGTAGTACTCTTTCATTTTTAGTGTACATCTCACCAGCTAATTTTTTCAACATTTGTCGTTTTTTTAGTAGAGTATTCTGAAATTCTATCATCGATGAATGTTCAGAACTAATACGAAGAAGTGCATCAATTTCTGACTCGTTTTCTCTTTGAAACCATACAGCTTTTGTAGGAATGTACCGATAAGTGTTCAATATGCGTGCTGTGCTCAGTAAAGGTGTTGTCGTGAGAATAGAGCAGCTGATAGATGAGGACATTTTGTTGACATAATAATCATTTGAACCAAATAATGGCAAAATACCTGCTGTTCGATGAATGAATCGATAATAAGAAGCAGCTGGAGTAGGTTTCTTTTGAATAAACCAACGAACAGCACTAGATTGTCGCAGTGGGTGTTGTAAATTATCGTTACCTGTTCCTATGACGAGAAACGTGATTTTTTTCTTCTTCAACACTTTATGCTTCGTTTGAATTTGTGAAGCCAAGCTTTCATAATTCCGTCGTTTTTCAGAGAATTTTCCTTGTATGGCAAATTCCAAAGGCTGTGATCCGGTGGTCGATGGCAAATCTACTGGAAATACTGGAAACCAGACATCAACGGAGAAACGTCCTTTTGTGAACCATCGAGCATAGTCATGAACATGTGGTGCTAGTGCTAACAGTCGAAATTTAATATATGGCATTGAAAATAGTGACGGATACTTGTTGAAAAACATATTGAGTTTGATTATATCTTCTACAGCAGTGTTAAGTTGAATCAGTACAACATAAGCTGTATCGTTTCTACAATCATGCATAAGCCTGTTAAGAAGATGTTCCAAATAGTCGATGAACAGCGTGCTAAGTATCAGTATCTGATGTAGACATAGATTGGCGCTGCTAGAAAGTAATTCATTGGCATGATGTTCTTGGTGTTGAACGAATGGTATAGACCATGAACGTGTCGCATTCGCCATGTTGTTGTAGAAATTCATCTTATCTTTTGGTATAGCAGTAAATAATGAAACACGCCAGCGACATTTGACAGCTGCTATATAAAGATAAGAATACCATACTTCATCATGGTAATATACACTATTGATAATTGCTATTCGAATAATAGGTATTGTTTTATTGTAATGGAAATGATAAGACGGTGCGACACGATTCTTATTAGATACTTCTAGGTAGTCTCTGTGTAGAAATACGACGTATAATAGAACGATAATAGACATTAGGAAATATACAATACAAACATGCTTGTGAAATAACATCCATAGACTAGTTCTCATATTAGTACTAGATTGAGTGAACCATGAATCAAAAGTGATAATAAAACGTGTATCAAAAGAAGGATAACTAACGACAATTGAACCAGAAATCAGTCAGCATGATAGAAAAGTAGCGCTCGTTGATGCCGTTTTATCAACGAAGTAGCTTGATTGAGAATAAATATCACTACACACACAGAAAGCAGTCCTTGTATTAAGTGGATCGATGAAGCATAAGATAATAACACTTGATGCTCATTCTGATTCGTAAAGCACTTGTAAAACCGAATGCATCTACAAAGTGACACACTGCAAATAGGTATATTAGTTGGCCTTTTCTTTATAAAATAAATATAAATAAAATCTTTATTCTTAAAAAAAAGTAAAAATGACAGAAAGAAAAAAAAAAAGTTTTTTTTTCCTATTATGCGTTAATAACCATTGCCTAGTTTAATAACAGGATATTTTAATTACCATCCGTTCTTATCACCTCGAAACCAGATAGATGATTTGAAAAAAAAAGACAAAAAGGATGGTAAAAAATTTATGAATCTGTCGTTTGGTAAAAAAATAGCGTAATGATTAGTTTCTTCAAATCTCTTTTTTTAACAATAATTGTTCATTTCTGTACTTTAGAACCACTGGAGCCATAGTTAAGTAAGATGAAGCAAGAAAAAGTTGATATGAAAGTTGGACATTATGAAACAGTTGCGACAGAAAGCCAGTGCAAGTTTAATAATCAAAGAGCAAAAAATTTTTCGAGTAAGTTTGAAGCTGTGGTTGTGTTGGGTAAGGATGGATTAAGAGAAAAAGAACTCATAAAGTCACACCTTTATTCATCTATTTAACTTATTTCTTAAATAGAAGATCTTTCGTTTAAAAATTTGTTTTTTTTTTGCTTTTTTATTGTAGTTTTTCGAGTACTTTGTTTTCAATCAGTTTTGTAGATCTACTCATCATAGATCCATTATAAATCGTGCAGGCATAAACTATGACTACTTTCATGAGTTCGTTGCTAACGAACTGTTATGAATACGTTCAATTTTAAAGTTGTACTTCATACTTGAATTTCTTTTTGAAAGTATATATCGACAAATCAATTTAAAAACGGACAGTTGTTTTGATCGAAAAAGAACTAAGAAAATTGTACAAGGTAATACACAAAAAAATAAAGATATCCTTCTTTTGGTAGCAGTCTAAGTCAAATCAAATTGGATCCAAAGGGAGATTTTTCTATTCGTTTTGGTTGTCTAGCCTAAGTAGATATACATTCGTGTATAAGCGCATATAATGAAAAAGAAATATGTTAATGACAGTCGAAATAGATCAGTATTACCATGGCCTAGGTGTTTGTGAAAAAAAAGACACGACACCTGGATAGAAGATCTCGGTACATATTCAAATTCGATCAGTGAAAAGCTCGTACCAACAACCGTCATAAGCAGATGAATGCAGACTGCTAATTTCGTTCATCTGATATATGGTCGTACATATCGACTATACTGATGCCAGATTACTTAGAAAAGCTTTCCAGAATGATCTGTTAATTCCGATGTTTTTCATAGCTATTAGAAAATGAGCGACTAACCTGCAATTTCAAAGTGGTTGCTGATCAAGTACTCATTATAATGAAATACAAGCAGAGGTCTGAAATAATTATAAAAATATTGTGAACAGTTTTGGAAGTATGTAATTTTAGATAAGAATATCTAGTTAAATTTGAACATTGTGTTTTTACAAAAACCGATGTTTCACAGTTGATGATACGATAAGTCATGTTCGCATTTGAATATTTAAGCATCATGGGTGATTTATATGAGCTTGAGAAGCTGTAAGTGTTTTGTTACAGTCAGGGAATGAGTTTCAAAGGAAAAATATAACAAGTATATAAAAGTTACAATGTGTATTCTTGCTAAATCGAAACCATTCCATTACATCAAGCTCTAGCGAATATGTTGACATCAAATTCTAGTACGCTTTTTTTTCGGACAAAATCATACGACTTCCAATCAAACTGAGATCAGTACTATCCCAAACTGATTAAAGCTTTGTCGGTAAAAGCTGAGCTTGATTCTAATTGCAAAAAACTCTCTCAAATATACACAAACTCGATAAAGTTTTAAAAACTTCTAGTATACTTTCATCTAACAGTAATATTTGCCTCAAAAACGGCTTTTTCAGTTAAACATGTCATATGTTTTCGCTGAAACCTACGCATTCTTATAATGAGATTCAGTTCAATATGAAAGAGTTTGTAATGTTAAATCCTATATCATGTTTCTTGTTGTTTTATGATTTATTTTTTTTAGAACTTCTTTTGTGTCGATCTCATGTGGTTTTCAATTTTGGTTT